CCACCATGTATGACGGTCACCAAGGGCTGTGCCTTGTGTCGCTTTGGTTCGATTACGATCGTCTCGACTGGGTATCGATCGGGGATAGGGAGTACAGTGGCGGTGAGCTCGCGCAGAGCACCCTCAACTAAACCCAAGCATCAGAGAAGCACAGCAATAAGCCCCAAATCCCCCAATAAATCACAAGGTGCTCACCACGAGGAGTAAGCGATGGCATCTCGATGACTTGCCAAGCGACTCTAGGCTTCCCTCCGTAATCTTCGAGTTTTCCAAGGACCAACTCGTTTGGGACCGTCGGCGCGCTCCTCGAAGCCAAGACCCACTTGCGCCCGTCCGTCGCCAGCGGGGACCAACTCCATAGATCCTCGCTGGATTCGGCAGGCGAAAGCCGTACCACGCATTCCGGCTGCTCCAAGTCGATGAGGATGACTTCAAGCCTTGAGCCCTGACTCGTCCGCGTGAGCAGATACGCCCGACCGCCAAACCGGACGAACGGACGCGCGAGGAAGTTCTCCGCGTACAGACCTGCGAATCCGTCCATGAAATTCTCCTGTGCCTTATCGACAGCGGGAATGATAGTGGTCGTTTCCCGCGCTTGTAAACCGAACCTGTGCAGTGAGAAGCAGGACATGTGGGGCCCACCAACCTCGTGGGAGAGCCAGAGCGCGGCGTTTGAGCCAGGGATGGAGCGCGGGGAACGAGAGGCGCGATTAAGGTCCGATATCTTTGTCGCTGAGACGGGTATCAGCGCAGCGGCAGGATCGGCCAGTAGTGACGGCTCAGAGTCGGCTGCATGTTGAAGTTGAAGGTCTACTGGGTCCAGCTTGAGTTCCCAGATAGCTGTTGGTCTATTGAAGCAAGCCTTGATGCCAAGTCGCCTTCCGTCCTCGCCGAACTCGTAGCCCGTCGCGAACAAAGTGTCGTCCGCAACGAACTGAGCTTGTCCAAAGGAGATAGTGGCAGTGTTGGCTGTCGCGCTGGTGGGTACGGATATGGCCCGTACGATTGGGGAGACGTTGCCTCCGGACAGCGCGTCGACGGACTCTGCGTTCGGCGCCCACCGCACGATAAAGGTCGTCGGCCGCTTTCGCCCAACGTAGCCCTCGCCGTAGTCGGGCAGAAAGCGAAATTTTGCAAAGGAATCATCGCCTTCGTTCTCTGGCGCGTTCGCCTCGGCGGTGTATATCAACGACGACTCCGAGGGAGAAAAGGCGAGCGTGGAGAGCTGATCTGGAGGGGGAAAAAAGTTTCGGGCGTGTTTGTGTGCCTGGGCACGGGAAAGAAAATGGGGGTGGACTGGACCTCACCATCTGTGTAGAACACACCGTGTGCCTTGGTCACGTTGACGGACGCCTCTAACCTATCTCCGTCCCAAATTTCCACGAATCGTCTCTTATCGCCCGCCGTGTTTGTCTCGCGGAGGATGGCCGTCAGCTTGCCCGAAGGAGAACTCGCTGAGGCGACGACCTCGGGAGATACGTCCTGGGAAGGTGATGCGATCACGGTGAACGTCCCATCGGATCTATTTGACTTTAAAAAGAACGTCTTGCTCGTCGTCCTTTTGGCATTTCGTGAGTGGTCCTGCGAAGATGATACCACTTGGACGACTAGTATCGCGTGATGCGCGCCGTTCTAGTTCGTCAAGACAATCAGAAAGATGATGACCGACGCGACGCACCCTTGTCAGAAAGGAATCGTGCAGATGCGTACACGGGGATACTCGACAGGTCTGTATACCAACCCTTTGTGCTCCCTGTTGAGGTGGCCATGGCTGTTTGCGATCAAGTTGCGTGGTCGTGTGGGCGAGCTAGGGGGCCTAGAGTATGTTAAGTTACACGGCCAGAGATCTAGGCCAGAGCCTCGTTGGCAGTTGTAATGAGGCGGCCCAGAACGAGGAGAGACTCACGTTCATGGTGGGAGGCGCGTACCGATTCCGTCCGATCGTCGAGAATTTCGACGTCCCTAAGCAGCGGCAAATTCCTCCGACATCATCCCTAATAACACAGTCCTAGAGAAAGGTATATCCGAACACCGAAGGGTGTCTACGAAAAAGGGGCCGAGGATATTCGAGCCCGCGATAAGGAAGAAGCATTGAGCTGTGCCCAAATGCGATATCGCAAGTCACCGTCTCTCCGTTCTGGGTCTGCATTTGTTCATGTGCTACCATTATTCCGCGGCGGTGTCCAATATTCGCATGCAAAAAGAGCACATAGTGGATGTGCGGAAGGATCTCCGGTTCCGTACAGGAAACCTAATCAGATCGGCATCGATCGTGGTTTACTATGTTTATCAATTGCCAGAACCTTCGGACTCACTAACGGAAGAGCCGATGGACTCACACGACACGCCCACGCTTTGCCGAAATGGGGTTCCAGGTAGAGTGCCGTCCGGAGCAACCTCGATGCCCCATCGATTGGGGAGACTACAGTAGCGTCCAGGACGAAGCAATGATTGGCGCGATGGTTGCAGACCGCTATTGCGCGAGCACAACGCTTTGACAAGTCGAGGTTTGGATGACACTCACGACACCCGGGCCAGTGACCGAGCAAGAGCAAGAATCAGTGCTGGTGTCTGAAGAATTCAGCGAAAGTGATCCATGGGAAGGGTGATGCTAACGAACCTTCGAATACCTGAACCGAATTTGACCAAGAAGAGACACTACCACACACAGTGAAGAGCCCCGGATCTAGTTTGTCCTGGTTGTCCATGAGGCCACGGTCGTGGGTGAGGACCCCGTCGAAGAATGGGGTGATGATTAGGACATCGTGTCCGCTGTCAAACGGGGACCTTTCTAATCAGAACGACCGAAGAGAAAACATTTGCGTCAGCGGTGTGCTTTTGGAAGTCACTGGCTGCCCGTGGGGTTTCTCTTCTTCCTTGGAGCTGGTCACCTGGGAAGTGCCGCTGGGACAACAGGATGGCGCGTTCCCAAGCGGTGCACTCATTATAAGCCCGCCCTCAAGGGCGGCCACCCCAACTCGAAGAGACCTGACTCGGAGGCATCAGGTGCGAAGGCCAAACTGGTTCTCTGAGCAGGCTACTACTAAGCTCAGGCTGGGCAGCAGCATAACAGGAACCTTGTGATTTCGTGCCAGTAGCTCCGGTATACGGTGAGTACAGCAAGCAACCGCCGCGAGAGGACTGTCTTCCTCAGCATACACGATGGCTTCGGACACTCGTGACGTTATACTCCCTGCAAATTGCGGGCGATCTTCCATTCGACGTCTCACTGGCACCCACTCGAACACTTAATCACCCTTTCAACCTCCATCGAAAAGTGTCTGAAAGGGTCCGAAGAATCCTAGGTAGCTTGAGGGCAATAATGTCACTCAGAGGGTTAACCTTCTAACGATACTTGTGGCCACGAATCAAGGCATTGAGACAGCCTATTGCCCACGTGTCAATCAGTCAAGTTGTGTGATGTGGAGTAAAACAAAGGCGTCATCATATAAATGAACAGTTTGAGATGTAAGTACGAATGTATTATAAAGAAACCAAAAATTAACATGAGAGAGTTCGTGGCCAGCACAGCTTACGCGCAACTTACGCCGAGCTCTGGAAAGTCGTATGTACCCGGATGGCGTTCTCGCACCCAGAGCGATCCCTGTGAGAATTGCAGTTGATCTGGTCATTCGGCTTGCTACAACAGCGTAGGCAGAAGCGGTTCAACGCGGGCTCAACGCTGAATCCGAATCCTCAATAGTATACAACTTATTCCGAGGGATAAACCCGAGGGACAACGTACAGCTCAATAAAGCTCGCCCGTAGCCCTCCGAAGGTACACTGAGCCCCGTTCGGGTAGCGCACGTCAAATTGTCCCCGGCATCGTTAGGATCCAAGTGAAACTTTGTCGAATCGATACAACCAGTGACCTAAATGAATGCGCTGAAGCCCAACCCCCCGAGGACATTTGCGAAAGCTACCTGGATCCACGAATTGTCATTTGCGCTCGTGAGCGCAGCGGCAGTGATAAAACCGTCAGGCATTTATTCGTGCAGAGGTCGCTAGAACCATTAGGAGTACAAAACGCCTTCGCGTCCTTTTCTGCGTCGGATACCAGCTCTATGATAATGACAAAATGATCGTGGCCCAGCACGCGTGACCAATACGAATGCGAACATACCGCCAGACATCGCGGGGAGCAGAAGGGCAAAGTCATTTTCCCCAGTAATGAAAACTGTTGTCTCGATTGAGGGCTCCCCAGTCGGCTCCGGTGTCGGTCTCGTGTCCAGGTCCTGTTCTGTGGTGCTAGAAGCCTCTTCACGTGGCTTCAGCGCGCCCGCCCGAACCATAGAACGCCAAGTACGAGAAGGAGTGATACCTGAGTTCTTAGAGACGCGAGGGGTAGAGGTAGAGATGGGTTTTGGAAGTCTGGTTGGGGGGGAACGAGCGTATGGATAAAGCGGGTTCGGACGAAGACTGTACGGGTCAGACCAGTGATTACGAATGCCAGTGAGAGCGACACCATAAACGAAGCTTGCCAAAAGCAGTGCAATAGCTAGAGAAGAACGCATGAAGAATAGTCGCCCAGCGACTAAGTACGGTTGAATGAGGGCGTTACGGATGTAGGGTTTAAAAAGATGTTCAAGGGGAGGCGAGACACGAGATGATCGCATCCAAACATTCCTTTCAAGAGGCATTCATCCACTTTGCAATACATCATATGTGATGTCATATGACGCACACACTGAGGCTCACGGGCAACCGCGATCATGTAAATCTGAGTAGAATCAGTACGGCAGGAAGGAACGAAGTGCTAGGAAAGCAAAAGGGACCTGTAAACGACCCCGTGCGGAGAAGGATTGTTTAGAGTGATAACGCCAGAGACGTGTCTTTAATCGCGACTCTTGTGAGTTTGCGCGAATCGACAACTGACAACTGTGGCCGGCGGACTAGCGAAACCAATACAGATCGCGAACGAGGCTCGTGAGACAAGGGAAAGCTCATCGTTGCCGTGAAGCTTGACGGCTCATAACGTAGAGTGTAACAAAATGAAGGAGTCCCGTTTAGCTCAGTTGGTAGAGCGCGTCACTAGTAACGTGATCTTGAAGGTCACAAAGCGAAATGACGAGGTCAGTCGTTCGAGTCGGCTAATGGGAATTCTTTTGCTCGCCTTGTTCCCCCATCAATTCAAGATTTTTGAACCGCAGTGGGCCAATTAAGAACGATGAAACATAAAGCCGTTAGATTTGATAACAGTATCTATCTCCACCTTTTGCCCAAGTCTTGTTCCACTTCGAGCGCCATCTACTCTTGCATCTCGTTCATCTTCAAATTGCGCGCCGCACGCACTGGCATGTGCCCCAGCTCATTCTTCGTCAGTCTCTCCCGGCGCTGTGGCTGATCCGTTCCTCTTGGGCAACGTGGTGGTCTGGGGATGCTGTAGCGAGCCGCGCAAGAGGAAAGCAGCTCGCCCTCGAGGTCTGAGAGGTTTGTCACAAGGCCAACCTTACTGGTCAACAGTAACTGGAGTTCTACATCATGAGCAGCCTGAGCGCAGAGCTTCGATACTACTTCTTCGACACGCCCCTCCGCGGTCTCCTTCAACTCTTTCTGGCGGTTGTTACCCATTTCTCGCATGGATTCTCAGGTTACGCGGAAGACCCCGTTATTATAAGCCCATCGAGGTCTTCCCACGTGTTGGAAAGCTCCTTGATTAGGTGTTCAATCTCGACATCCTTATTAGACCCTACAGCTAGAGCGGCTTGCCGAATCTCATCCCTGAACCTTAGCATCGTACATCGTGTGGCACCAGGTGTATAAGTTGTTGCGACAGGCGAGGGAGTTCCCGGAGGCATCATCCTCAGACCTGCCAGAGGAGATCAAACGCAATGAAGGAAGACCATCTACACCCGCAGGGATGGTCACTGCGGCATAGGCGACGACCCCAACCCAACCCCAAACCCGATCTCACCATCATCCCTGTCTCAGACGCCGCCAATAACGACAAAGTGGTTGATGCACTGGCGCCGCGCACCGCCGAGCTTGTAGTGAGAGGAGCAGCAGACGCAGTTGATGCAACCTGAGACGATGGTGACGAGCCACTGCTGCTGCTGGGGCTGCTGTAGTGGTGGCAGCGGCGACAACAGGGCCTGTGACGCTTTGGCTACTGCAAACTCCAGCTCACCCCTTGCGAGCCATCAGGGACCAGGTACTCCCGGTGGTGACTGCGGTGTTGGTGGGCTGTGGTTGGGCCCGGGGCTTGGATGACAGCATAACTGCTAAGCGTAGTCACAGGAAAGAATGGAGAATATTTTTTTAAGCTTCATTAAACAAGAGTAAGAAGCATGGACTGGCATTGTAGAGCGTATGTGTTATTGGAACCAGCGTATAATGGACGTAATTGACACCTACACCCGCCTGGACCCTATGACTTACAGCTGTAAACACACTGGGCTCACAGGCAACCGCAATCATGTAAATCCGAGTAGAAGAAGTACGGCATGAAGGAACGAAGTACAGGTAAAGCAAAAGGGACCTGTAGCGTGTGTGTAAGCGACTCCGTGCGGAGAAGGAGTGATAACGCCAGATACGTGCCTTAATTACGACTCTTGTGAGTTCGCGCGAACCGAAACTGACAATAGTGCCCGGCAGAGTAGAGAAACCTACGCAGATGCGAACGAGGCTGGGAGACGAGAGAAGCCACTGTTTGTCGTGAAGCTTGACTGCTCAGAATGTAGAGTATAACCGAATAAACACGCCCCGTTAACTCAGCGGCGGTCAGCAGTAACGTGATCTTGAAAATCACAATTGTGACCTTGAAAGTCACTATGACGAGTTCATCGGTTCGAGTAGGCTTGGGAAGTTTTTGTTCATCATTCAAGATTTTTGAACCGCAGTAGGCCAATAAGATGAAAATATGCATTGTCCATTGGTAATAATACACTCCAACGCCACCGCATCAGGTTGCCTTCGATACGACGGCTGTTTCGGGCAAGAAGCCAAGAACGAAGGGCTACAGAAATAGTAAAAATACAAGCGAGGTACGTCGGTAAGAATAGAGGAATGTGTCCATGATGTATTCAAATTACGGTTGGCCAGCAGCCCTGTGATAAGCGTTCGTTCGTCCTGTTCGTGGTATACATAATGTCCACAAGGTCCTTGCGAGTCCAGTTCTACATCTCAGGTCTTACTCTTAATTATAAGTACTCACGTTCTCAGATGCTTGATGATTTAGATGAAGCACACGTGCCAAACATCTGCGCCGTTTGCAGCGCGCTGCAGACCAGCAAAAGTCGTGCAGCCGCCGAGGAGATCAAAGCGTCTGAGGCCGACAGGGTCGGGCATGGCTCTGTTGCGCTGATTAAAACTCGATGAAGCTGCCCGTTTGTGATTCTCAGTCGGAAGCTGGTTATAGTCGACCTGGCTGGCCTGCTCAGACAGTTTCACGTGGAGGGCTTGGAGGACCTCGCGCACGGTCACGGCATGACCATTGCCGCGCGTGCTCGAGGCATAGAAGTGGCCCCCGAGATACCCGGGATTTCAAGGAGGAGGTGGGTTGCGCGCGTCGAAATGGCGGGTTCGTTCATCGCGTTGGGGTTGCAGGATGGATGGAGGCACGCCGTTGAAGGGGGTTGGACAGCGTTGAAGTTCAATTTTGCTGGTGGCCTGTGGCCGATGTAGACCAGTAGCTCACTCAATACAGCATACCTGCTGGGACGCTCAGGGCTTACGGGCGGTGTGGGCAGAGAATCTGGAAAAGCGGAGGTAGGTCAGTTGGTGGTTGATGGAAGATAAGATGGGTGTTTGGGGAATGGCAGGGAAGGAATGGATGTGCGCACGCTGTTGACGTTGGAGAAGTTGGGGTAAAGGGACAGTGCCCATATGCGGCGCACCAGGCGTCGAGGATCCATAAGCATACGCATATGCGTGCCCGTGCCCGTGCCCAGAGTGCGTCGAGACCGATCTAGCAGATCCTGGGGGGACGGTAGACTCACCGGGCTCATGACCGGGGTCACGGGCGGTCCACCGCTGCCCGAGGCGGTGGTGCCCGTAAGCGTGTTCAACGACCACGTGGGACTAGACATGAACGAATTCGGATGGTGCTTCGAGTGAGAAGATGGCATGGCAGCAAACGAACAAACGAGTCAACGCGTCTTTAGTCAAGAAAAGGGCGGAAGAAGAGGCGGCGGCGGGAGAAGGAAGGGGATAAGGGAATGACTCGGGGCGACGCGTCGCATATTTATATGTACGCGTATACGCTGCACGGGACCGCCCCGCTCATGTTCGTTGATTGATCCCGATGGGTCGGGATGGCGCAGGGTAGGGCAGAGGGGAATGAAGGAAGCGCGTGGCGGGCGTGTTGGGCGACGGGCGGGCGTCGGGTCTGTCACTTATCGGTCCAATGAGGGCGAAACAAGGAGTCTAGAAGCGCCCTTTGATGATCCGAGAGCGTGGGAACTCCGACATTCCGCGGAATGTGCCTCATATAGAAGGGGCGGGCCCACGTGTCGCGCGTATGTCCCGCAGAATGTCCCAATTAGTCTGAGTGCGCCCCTTTGCATCAACCAACCCTTGTCCCTTGTCCCTTGTCCCGTAATTTCAATCATTTCAACCCGACTCGATCGGAAGAGTCAGCCATGTGGCGGAGATCCATGTGGGTTACAGCAACTTATGACTCCAAGTTGTTTGGACTTACCATGTTCGGTGGAGTGGAGGCGTTCGTTCGTTCGAATACAAATAAGTCTACAAGGGCTTGCGAGTGTTACTGTTGAACCTAGCGGGCAATACGTATCAAATACAATAGTGGGTAGTAGTAAATGGACGAACAAAGACGCGAGATTGAAATCCATCACCATGTACTACAACTTCAATTTCAGTCGCCCCATCTCACGCTGTATAACCTCCGCCCACTCGCTCGTTTGCTCGTCCAGCTCTGGTGGCGCAACCTCATACCTGCTACGTCTCCGCGCGCGCGAGCGACCACCACTGCCATTGCCGACATCACCCACAAAATCAACGCCAGATACCTGCTGTGCAAGGTGCTTGACCTCCGCAAACGAATTAGTAGCCTGTGCTCTCAACCACGCCGCACTTTCCGCGCGATGTCGCAAGCAAACCGGGTCCCACCTCTGCTCTGGATCCTCCGCCTCCTCCCCTGGTTCCTCCATCGGGCGGCCGTCCGCCCATAAGGTGCCGCCCGTACGTGCTAGCACCTGCTCGATGCTGAGCGATTCACCAGGCGGAATGGGCTTCGGGTGTGAAGGTGTGACACAGGGCATATCCGTTTCCTTGCGCAGAACTGTATCCACGTCCACCGCCGAGAAAAATGCGACGCCCTGCGGGAGATCGTCCATTCCAAGACGATACGCGAACAAACATCGCGTCCACAAGTTCGCGATTTGCAGCGCAAGCGCGGCGCGATACCGATCCCGCTCGGCGACGAGATAGCGCAGTTCATCATGTACGGAGATGAGGTACCGCGCTTCGATGTCGTATGTCCGTATGAGATGTTCCATTGAGACGATGAGCAAGTGTAGATAGTCCACTCCGGAGGATTGTACGACCCAGTTGATGCGCGAAGTCATATAGTCCGAGCCGAACTCGGCGGGGAGGTACTTCTTCGAGAGGGCATGCGTGATGCCGCACCCGAGGGCAGGCGTGGTCGGCTGTTCGGAGAGCGCGATTTCCTCAAGTTTGTTGAACACGAAGCTCTCCGTCCCGCCAAACCAGAACTTGCGCCCGAACACATCAGTCCGTTGCGTGTTCTTTCCCTTGGTTGAGGCGTACAATTGTTCCGCGAGCCGTTTTGCCTGCTCGGGAAGCATGTCCGCATTTGCTTGAAGTAAGAGTTGCACCGCGTGGCGCATGCCCGCACCATATATGCGGGAATAGTTGAACACTTTGGCCTGATCGCGCGAGAGACCGAGAATCTGCGCTGTCTTGGAATGCAGGTCCGTTCCCGCGGCCTTACTACCCTCGAGTGTCATCCACCCGATCGCTGTAGCACCATGCAGTCCAAATTGCGCGTCTCCCATTGCGCTCGAGATCCAAAGCTCTTCCGAATCAACATCCGCGCCGACAATGGCATACCCCGGAGGCGCGCGCACCATTGCCTTCAGCTCCGAGCCAACGCGTTTCTCCTTCGCATTGCTCGCCGT